TTGTCTGTGTTACAAATTCAGTTATGTGTTTCTTGGAGTTTTTGGCAAAGACTTAAAGCTCTAAACAAGACTCTGTGATTCTTGTTTTCCTACTACTTGTAGGAATATTGTTTTTTCTTTGGCAGCTGGCCCTGAAGAGTACCTTCTGGCAGGTTCACCCTACCCTTACTTACCTTCTTATGCCAATTATTGATATTAATTAGATTTCCAGAGGAATGAGGCCTTTCTTGCCCAAGTTCCTACTCACCACACAGCTCCCTCCCCACTTACCACTTCTCTCATCCTTCAGCATCCAGGAACTATGCAAGGTGTTGGGGATAAAACTGCAAACGAGACAGACAGGTCTCTGCTTTCATGGAACTTTCATTCTGCTGAGAGACAACCAAACAAAAATTTAAGTCAAAACAACTTAACTGGTGCTCCTGGCACTATTCTAGGATTTTTTTCTGCCTGTTTTTTCTCTTCCTTCCATATGGATCTATATGCGGTCCTACAGTAACTAAGCGCTGGGCTCTGAGTTGGAAAGCCTGAATTGCATAGGATTCTGGCTCTGCTACTTCCAGCCGGGTGACCAAGTTGCCCAACCATTCTATGTCTCATTTTCTTCATCTGTAAAATGGGGAAAATAATAGAGGTTTTGTGAGGATCGAAGGCTTAGCATAGAATCCCCAGATAATAATCACTCGATGAACATCTGCTATTGTTCTTTTCTGTATTTGCTACCCCTTCTACTTTCTTATTCTAAAGCACCCTCCTCCAGTGCACAGCCACTCCCTTCCCACCCCTATAAAAATGATGAAGGGAGAAATTATATGTTGGGAAATTTCTATCTTTTCACATATTTCCCCCTTGGAAATTGGAAAGGGACTCTCAGTATACAACTTCAGTAGATTCCCTAGGTTCAACTCACAGAATTCCAGTCTGCCACTGGAAAATATTTTTTCTTTTTTTTTTTTTTTAAGATTTTATTTATTTATTTATTTATTTGAGAGGGAGGGAGAGAGAAAGAGAGCACACAAGCAGGGGGAGCAGGAGAGAGAGAAGCAGACTCCCCGCTGAGCAGGGAGCCTGATGCAGGTTTCAATCCCAGTTCCCTGGGATCATGACCTGAGCTGAAAGCAGACGCTTAACCAACTGAGCCACCCAGGCACCCGTGCCATTGGAATATATATGCTCACACATTTGAATATGCTTAACTACTTTTTATAGGAGCTCCTCCTTTGCCTGAAGGTGATTTTGTAATTTAGCATAACTTTGGAGAGGAAGGATATTGTAAGACACACCTGTCGCCCAAAAGCTAATGACTAAACAACCATTTGATTACTGGAGGCCCTCATATATTAAAAAGGGTAAGTTTTACATGACATATTCCTTTTTGATGGTTCTCCAGTCTTATCAGGCTGGGAAGGTATGTGACGGCAAAAGAAGACCTAGGTTCAGGAGAGCAAGGATAGCATCTCTCTTTCTCTATAGTACCTAGCATAGCACCCAGCTTGTTCATTCCCTGGCATACAGTAGAAGCTCAATCAACACTACTTGCCAGCTGTGTGATATTGGGCAAGTTACTTAACTCCTTTGACCCTCAGTAGCAAATAAATACTACACCTACTTGGAAGGGTTTGTTTAAGGAGAAAATGAGCTAATATTAGTAACGCTCCACTCAGTGCCTGATGCAGGGCAGTTGGTTCTCTTCCCCTTTCACTTCTTGTGTATTTCCTACCCACCCGCGGCCTGATTATAAGTTATTTGAGTCAGGGACTTTGCCCAGTGCCTAGCATATGACCTTACACATAGGGATAGCTTCAATTTATTTACTCATTCAGTGAATCTTTGAGTATCTACAATGGACAAAAGCTTGGAGTTGATAGAGAGCTGGCACATTCAGGAACCCCACGTAATTGAATATGACTGAAGCAGAGACTTCCAGGAGGAAATGATGAGAAAGAGCTAGAATGGTTAGCCTGGATTAGCTCTCAAAGGGCTCTGTAGGTCTTATAAGAATTTTGGACTTTACCCTTCAAGGCAGAGGATTGCCACTGAACCAAGGAGTGGCAAAAACTTTTGTTTTTACTTTATTTTTTTAATTCTTCTTATTATTTTTTAAAGATTTTATTTATTGGGGTGCCTGGGTGGCTTAGTCGTTAAGCGTTTGCCTTTGGCTCAGGTCATGATCCCAGGGTACTGGGATCAAGCGCCGCATCAGGCTCCTTGCTCTGAGGGAAGCCTACTTCTCCCTCTCCCACTCCCCCTGCTTGTGTTCCCTCTCTCACTGTGTCTCTCTCTGTCAAATAAATAAATAAATAAAAATCTTTTAAAAAATAAATTAAAAATTATTTAAAATAAAAAAATATTTTATTTATTTGAGAGAGAGAATGAGAGAGAGCATGAGGCGGGGAGGGTCAGAGGGAGAAGGTGACTCCCTGCTGAGCAGGGAGCTGGATGCGGAACTCCGTCCTGGGACTCCAGGATCATGACCTGAACTGAAGGCAGTCGCTTAACCAACTGAGCCATCCATGCGCCCTTGTTTTTACTTTAGAATGGTTTGTGGGGTGCCTGGGTGGCTCAGTCGGTTAAGTGTCTGCCTTCAGCTCAGGTCATGATCTCAGGACCCTGGGATCAAGCCCCACATCTGGCTCCTTGCTCATCGGGGAGCCTGCTTCTCCCTCTCCCTCTACCTGCTACTCCTCTGCTTGTGCTCTCTCTCTCTCTGTCAAATAAATAAAAATTCTAAAAAAAAAAAAAAAAAAAAAGAATGGTTTGTGGTTCTCAGACAAGTGTGTGTAAGAATCACCAGGCAAGCTTGGTAAAAATGGGGGATTCCAGGGGTGCCTGGGTGGCTCAGTCGTTAAGCATCTGCCTTTGGCTCAGGTCATGATCCCAGGGTCCTGGGATCGAGCCCCACAACCAGCTCTCTGCTCAGCAGGAAGCCTGCTTCTCAGTCTCTACTCTGGCTTGTGTTCCCTCTCTCTGTCAAATAAATAAAATCTTAAAAAAAAATGGGGGATTCCAGAGCCACATTGCCCAAGAATATGCATTTACTTAATTTTATTTTTCTAAGAATATGCATTTAAACTGGTACCCTAGGGGCCCCCATCTGCCTCAGGTGGTAGAGCATGCACCTCTTGATCTCAGGGAGGTGAGTTCAAGCTCCAAGTTGGGAGTAGAGCTTGCTTAAAACAAAACAAAACAAACAAAAACAAACAAAAAATGGTACCCCAGATGATTCTGATCCACTCAAATATATAGGCACAAGAGGGACATACCTTACAAAAATAATAACAAAACAGGAGGCTATTGCAGTAGCCTTGGGGTAAGCAGACTTGAATTCAGGCTTCACCTGCCTGCCCTGATCAATTTGCTTTCCTTGGCCTGTCTTACACCTAGCGCCTTAAGCCTCCTCTTCCCCATGGAGGATCAGCTGGAAGCCCAGCCAATGAGACTAGCCCAGAGACCAGACAGAGGCTGAAGAGAAGTAGCTAGATTTGGTAGGTATTTAGAAGGTGGAATAGACTAGACTCAAAGATCCTTTGCATGGGGACCGGCGAGGGTGAAGAAGAGCAGGAAGTCAAGGACGCCCCCTGGCTCTCCGGCTTGGAGGAGCAATAGTTGTAATGGTGTGCCATTCAGTGAACCAAGAACTCAAAGGAGAAGGGCAGTTCCCGGAAGGTGAAGTGAGTAATTTCAGTTGAGATTTGCTGAGTTTGTGGTGCCTCTGGGACATCCAAGTGGAGATGTTCACAGGTCAGCTGGATTTATGGGTGGGAAGATCAGAACAAGATCTAGTTCAGAGATACATATTTGAGAATCATTAGCTAATAGGTGGTAATAGAAGGTGGGTGAAATCATCCCAGGAGAGGGAATAGAATGATAAGAGAAAAGGATCTAAAACGAAATGCAAGGAACATTTAACGGAAGGGCTGCCGAGGAAAAGAATTGCAAAGGGATCAAGGACCGGCCCGAGTCAACAGCCCAAAGTCACGGGGAGGGAGTTGAGAGGAGTGAGGAACGGGGAAGCACACTGGATTCAGCACAGAAGCCTGTGGTGACCTTGCAGAGAGCAGTTTTAGCAGAGCTCCAGGGACAGCACCAGATTGCCGTGGATTGAGGAGTGAGTGGGAGGTGAGGGAGTGGAGGCAGCTGGCATGGACAGTTTTTCAAGACGTTTGGCCAAGAATGGAGTGAGATGGAAGAAGGAAACAGAATCAGGAGAGTCTTTTTCTATGCTAAGGAAGGAGTGGAAGAAAGCACAGGATGAAGGAAATAATAAAACCTACCGAGAGTAGCGGGAGGAATCCACTGCACTGAAGTCAGGATTGTTCCTAAGAGGGACCTACTTCTATTTTTTAACCTGACCGATTGGTTTGGAAGCTGGATATCGAGTGGTTCACTCTTACAGATCCTGTTTCCTCTTGGAGGTTGGGAGCCAGGCCATGAGTAAGGAGTTTGTAGGATGAAAATTTTTCCTCAGCTAGCAAAGTACGGGTTTACCAGCAAGAAGCAAGTAGGCACCGCACTGAAGCAAGAGCTCGGTGGGAAGCGGGTTGAGGCTGAAGCTTTAAAATTCAAAGGATGAGAGGCTGAGTGAGTATGATGTTCCTCCAACCGTGTGGAAAGCTGCATTTGGGTCACCAAACAAGATGGTTTTTTCCCAGAACCTCCTGCTGGGGCTTTTACTTAGGCTTCCCCTTTCTCCTCTACTCAGTCTGCCTTCCCCGGCCTGAGTCTCACGTCTAGGCCTCAAGCCTCCTCGTCCCCACCGAGGACCAGCTGGAAGCCATTTTGATTAAGCTCCACCACAGAAGGAGGACAATACAGCCCCGCCCAGAGCCAGGCGCGCCCCCGCGGCGGGCCGGGTGCGCGTGTCCGCGCCTCTTCCCGCCGGCCTGGCGGGCGCCGGGCCCAGGCCAGGGCGGTGCGAGGCGGGGGGTGGGGGTGGTTATGTAAGCGTTGCGCGCTCCCGCGAAGCGGCAACCAATGGGAAACCCCGGCGGCTCGTGCTCGCGCACGCAGGGTGGGGGGAGGGAGCGCACGACGTGCGCGCGCCCTCTCCCTCCTCCACCGCTGCCGCCTCCTTCTTCTGCCGCTCCTGGTGCTGCTTGTGTGCTCGTTCGGTGCGGACCTGGTACCTCTTTTGTGAAGCGGCAGCTGAGGAGACTCCGGCGCTCGCTATGGCCGACGAAAAGCCCAAGGTGAGCTCGGCGCTGGCTTCCTCGGCTCGCCGCGCGGTCGGGGTCACGGCGCGGGCCGGGGTCCGGCCCGAGCCCGCCGCGGGCTCCCCGCGCCTTCCTGGGCCCCCCACGGGGCCGGCCGCGGTTCAGGCCCGGGCGCTCCGCGCCATTTTCCTCCCTCCCCTCTTCCTCCCTCCCGCGCCGGAGGAGGCCCCGCCGCCCTCCCCCGCCCCCGACCGCCTCGGAGTGCGCGCCGGGCGCGAGTAGGGCGGGCGAATCGCGGACGCCCGCGGGCCCACCGGCCGCGAGCGGAGCTCCTCCGGCCCGGCCGGCTGGGCGCGCGTGCGGAGGGGCGTTAGGGCGCGCGGTGTCCCCACCCTCCGCGGACCCCGCGCCGGGCCGCGGCGGGTGTTGCCGCCTCCGCGGTGGCGGGGAGTTCCCTCCACCCCGGGCTTCCCCCTCAGGGATGGGGGGCTGCGGGCATCTGGGGACCCCTGCCCCGCGCCGCGCTGGCCTGGCCAGGGCTCGAGGAGAATCAATGGGCTGCCGATGGGTTCCCCATCGGGCCGTCGTGAGGGCCCGGGGGTTCGGGGATTCCCGGGGAGTATTTCCCACTTTCCCGGCTTCGGGGTCCCCAGGGGGCTGGGCAGTGGCTTTTCCCTGGGTGCCAGATCACCCCTAACCTGCGGAGACCATGCGGTTTCGAGAAGTTGGAGGCAGAGGTGCGAGCAGAAAGACTTGGTGGGGCTTAACTTTTTAACGCGGGTTTTGAGGCACCGAGAGGCTCTTCCCGTGAGGAGTAAGGCACACACTTCTTCCTGGCACACGGGACTTTCGTAGGGTTTGTTCTGTGACACCCCCTCCCCTTTCCTTTCTGAAGTGACTTGGGGGCTACGGAATTACATCAGCCCTTGATTTTGGTGAACTTCAGGTTGGGTGGAAATCTACAAGGAAGACTTGGAAGAAAACGGCATTTGACCCATGACAACAAAGGGGAGGGGAGAATAAGCTCTTAACTGAAAATAAACAAAAGTGAGGCTGCTAATAGAGGCAAACATGAATAGTGGTTCTAAGTTACTACCGCTGCTTCAGAGAGAATCGAGGGATATTCCTCAGTTAGGTTTTTTTTTTAATGTAGTTGAGATACAAGTTATTAAATTGAGTTCAGTAACTTTTTAACAAGACAGTTGTAATGAGTTTCAGTTGCAAGTTTTAGATTTTTATCCTTGTACTTATCCTGTACTTAAAGCGCTTTATAAAGAGAAAGGATGGTTATTTTTAATCTTTTTAAGGGAAATGACATATTCTGCAGGTTAAAATATGCCATTTTAGAAAATTCAGATGCAGGAGCGCCTTTGAGTGGGACCCATCGGTAAAAGTCAGTGGTTTTCGCTGATGGTATTGCATGTAGGCTACTCTTCCGTTTCTGTGACAGCATTTAATATCATTGCTCCAGGATTTTTCATCTTTCAGATTGATTTCAGCGGCTGAAAACAGCTGTATACTCTTTTATCATACAGAATGAGAAACCTGTTGATTTCTGAAGCAAGTTGGGCTGCTGCTACTTTAAAAGGTGTTTGTTTTTCACATTTTCCAAATTATACTTTTATTTTTCTTTCAACAGGAAGGAGTCAAGACTGAGAACAACGATCATATTAATTTGAAGGTGGCGGGGCAGGATGGTTCTGTGGTGCAGTTTAAGATTAAGAGGCATACACCACTTAGTAAACTAATGAAAGCCTATTGTGAACGACAGGTGAGGAACTGACATACGCACTTCCAATAAAACTTACTAAGAAAAAACAAACCTTATTTTTTTGAGAATAGAAAGTAGACTGGCATAATATTATAATTATCTTTCGGTTGAATGAATGCACTTATATACTTGACATATCAGTTCTATCCTACCCTTGGTATGCTGATGTTTCATGAAAGTCCTTAGGATGGTTTGGTTAATATTCTATATGATTCTAGTCCTATAAAATTTGTTCCTCAGGGGATGAGATTTTACTTTTATAAGAGAATAAGAATGATCTTGATAAAATTTCTTGTTAGGCTCTTTTTTTTTTAATCCATTTAAAATTTGTGTCACATCAAAACATTTTATTTTGAGCATTTAAGCAAATTTGGAAATTCTGAGTTTAACAACACTGCAATTTTCCTGAAGCATGTAAAATTGTAATATTTTCTTTTTTTTTAAGATTTTTTTTATTTATTTATTTGAGAGAGAATGAGAGAGAGAGAGCACGAGAGGGAAGAGGGTCAGAGGGAGAAGCAGACTCCCCGCTGAGCAGGGAGCCCGATGCGGGACTCGATGCCGGGACTCCAGGATCATGACCTGAGCCGAAGGCAGTCGCTCAACCTACTGAGCCACCCAGGCGCCCAAATTGTAATATTTTCTTAAATAATGGTAGATGTCAAGAAATTGAACCTCCTGAGTCAGGCAGAAACATTCCTATGTTTATAGGGACATTTGCATTTTACTCAGAAATTAGTAAATGGACAGCAAGAAGAGGAAGTAGAGATGAATAGATGCTGGGAGGTGAGTGCAGAGTTTAAGACAAAGAAGCTTCCTTTTGTGAGGTTGAATCTTTAACAATACGGAGGCAACTTTAAAGTTGACTTTTGCAAGTATAACAAAAACTCTGGTACCTATATTCAATAATAACCTGGCAGAAGTATTTTTTTTTAATTCAACTTTGAATGTATAACATAAAAGTTGGGAAAGTCATTCTTCTAGACAAAAACAAGTTGTCTGCATTGCAAATTGTCCTTAAAATAGGCTCCAGATAGAGTAAAACTTAAACCTGTAGAAGTTGGGAGATTGAGTTTGAGCTGATATTTGGACTTCCTGCATGAGCTCTAAGGGCATTTGGAAGAAACTGAGGATAAACTTTGTTTTGAGATTGAAACTTTGTTTTATGCCTAATTTGTTTATAATAGAATTCTGTGCTTATATGATTCTTTTATCTTCATACGTAAACTAATCTTAAAGTTTTTTGTTTTTTTCTTTTTGTTTTTTAAAGATTTCATTTATTTTTTTGACAGAGAGATAGTGAGAGCAGGAACACAAGCAGGGGGAGTGGGAGAGGGAGAGGCAGGCTTCCCGCAGAGCAGGGAACCGGATGTGGGGCTCGATCCCAGGGCCCTGGGACCATGACCCGAGCCAAAGGCAGATGCTTAATGACTGAGCCACCCAGGCGCCTCTATAGTTCTTTAAAAGATAATGATTTTCAGTGTACTCTTACTTGAAGAATTTTGGCGAAATCCCTCTACATACTAATAAATATGTACTTCCTACTTGTGCTAAAGAATTTTTGCTCTAGCGTCTTCCATATTTGAACACTAGTGCCCCTTCAGGTTACAGGGGAATTTTAAAAGGTAATCTTGTAGAACTTTTACACAGCATACCATTTACAAAGTAGAAACTCATGCTTAGATTTAGTGGTTTTCTTTCTTTTTTTTTTTTAATATTTATTTGACAGAGACACAGCAAGAGCAGGAACACAAGCAAGGGGAATGGGAGAGGGAGAAGCAGGCTTCCTGGGGAGCAGGGAGCCCGATGTGGGGCTCGATCCCAGGACCCCGGGATCATGACCCGAGCTGAAGGCAGACACTCAACAACTGAGCCACCCAGGTGCCCTAGATTTGGTGGTTTTCAATAAAATTCTCTATCTTTTCTTGTTACTAAATTTTAGATTTTAAATGGTCATACATTTTTTAAATGGTCCTATTTTTCAAAACTTAATATGGAAACTCAACTGTAATGCAAAGTTGAAAAAACTTCATTGAATATCTATGTACTTACCACCTAGTTTAACCATTAACATTTTATTATACATATCTATTGATAATCTCTATTAATCCTAGACTGTTAATATTTAAGACTTCCTGTATTTCTTGTAGGGGCCCCAAAGGAACTTTTTACTTATATTTATCAGATGCCTACCAGGTGCTGGGGCTTTATACCGTATGCCAGAAAAACAAAGACGCATAGCACATCCCATATTGCAGATGTCTTTATAAGAGATTGTTCTGTAAGATTGAGTTAGTGGGTCAATCAAGAATTTGGCGATTTTCCTGGTATGTTAAAATTTAGTGTACTGGGGCGCCTGGGTGGCTCAGTCGTTGAGCGTCTGCCTTCGGCTCGGGTCACGATCCCGGGGTCCTGGGCTGGAGCCCTTCATCGGGCTCCCTGCTTGGCAGGTGGCCTGCTTCTCCCTCTCCCACTCCCCTTACTTGTTGTTCCTGCTCTCACTGTCTCTCTCTGTCAAAATTTTTTTTTAGTGCCATTACTCATGTAAATAAAGATAAAATTTTTCAGTTAGGTTTAAGTTGACTAAACTTGGGGCCACTCTTAATTTGCACTAGGGGAAAAAGAAGCATTGGTAATCCATTAAAAAATATAATTCTACTGCATATCACTTGGAATGCAAATATAATTTGAAGATAAGATTCAGGAAAATTTGGAAAGGTTAGTTCCCGTTTTCTTTTTAAATTCAGAATAACCTCAGTTTTGATTAAACAGGATCCCTGTTTACTTTTCAAATGTTTACTTCTCTCATTCTAAGGAAGAGGGAGTTAAAGTGTCACATAATTGGGCTGATCCCTGCTTTTTAAGTATAGGTACAGCCTTTCAAAAGTCTAAATTTTTTTTTAAGACTTTATTTATTTGACAGAGACGCAGCGAGAGAGGGAACACAAGCAGGGAGAGTGGGAGAGGGAGAAGCAGGCCTCCCGCCGAGCAGGGAGCCCGATACAGGGCTCGATCCCAGGGCCCCAGGATCATGACCTGAGCCGAAGGCAGACGCTTAACGACTGAGTCACCCAGGCGCCCCAAAGTCTAAAATATTTATCCAATCTAATTTGCATAGCTAAAGGTGGCTTTTTGTTTTTTGTTTTGACAGTTGAGGATTCTTGACTAAGGATTTCTTATCAAGATTAATTGAATGCTCATATTTACTTTCTAATGAACTCAGTTGGCATTGGATCTTTGGAGGAGTTCCAGTAGATGTCTAATAGGCATCTCAAATTGGATGTGCAAAAGACTTTTGATTCTACTCCTAGAAATCTTTTTCTCTGGTGTCCCCTCTCAATAAATAGCACTGTTACATTTAGTTAGGTCAAAATCTTGGAATCGTCCTTGATGTTTTATAACTCCTATAAAATCCATCAACAAATTCTGTTCTCTACTTAAACCTGTACTGTTCAAAACAGTAGCCACAAGCCACGTGTGACTGTTTACCTCCTGAAACAGGGCTAGTCCAAATTAATATGTGCTGGAAAGTGTACAATATATGCCAGATTTTGAAAACTCATAGTGGGAAAAGTAAAATACCTTAATTTTTCAAATGTCAATTACATGTTAAAACAAAAGGATTTTTTATTTATTTGCGAGAGAGAGAATGAGAGAGAGGGAGGAGGGTCAGAGGGAGAAGCAGACTCCCCGCCCAGCAGGGAGCCCAATGTGGGACTCGATCCCGGGCCTCCAGGATCATGACCTGAGCTGAAGGCAGTTGCTTAACCAACTGAGCCACCCAGGCACCCAAAACAAAAGGATTTTTAACATTGGTTTACAACATTTAAAATTTTACTTGCTTGGGGTACCTAGGTGGCTCAGATGGTTAAGCCTCTGCCTTCTGCTCAGGTCATGATCCCAGGGTCCTGGAATTGAGTCCCACATCCGGCTCCCTGCTCAGCGGAGAGCCTGCTTCTCCCTCTCCCTCTGCAACTCCCTCTGCTCATGCTCTCTCTCTCTCTGTATCTCTCTGTCTCAAGTGAGTAAATAAATAAATAAATCTAAAATTTTACCTGCTTTTTAATGTGGCAAGTAGAAAAATTAAAATTACATATGTAGCTCACATATTTCTCTTGGATAGTCCTGAGCCCTCAACCATTTTATTCCACTATTGGTTGATTACTAACTTCGGAGACTTTCCTGATTAATTCAGAGTGTTTCTGCTCCCATTACTCGGTCCTCTCACTGTTTTTGTTTTTTGTATTGATCACTGTCTGTATTTGTCTCTCCATTAAAATGTAAGCTACCTGGGGCACCTGGGTGGCTCAGTCATTAAGCGTCTGCCTTCGGCTCAGGTCATGATCCCAGGGTCCTGGGATCGAGCCCTGCATCAGGCTCCCTGCTCAGCGGGAAGCCTGCTTCTCCCTCTCCCACTCCCCCTGCTTGTGTTCCTGCTCTCACTATCTCTCTCTCTGTCAAATAAATAAAATCTTTAAAAAAAAAATGTAAGCTACATGAGCATAGGGCCTTTTTGTTTAGTATTTCTCTAGAACTTAAACCACTACCTGACATATAGAGTGTGTTCAGTAAGTGCTTACAAAATGATAGAGAAAATTCAAACTGCCTCCAGAGGTTGGTTTGTAAATAAATTTTCTTTTCACATGTAGAATTGAGTTTGCCCACTTTGTCAGCTGTATAGCTTTTGGCTGAGGGCATACTCTTCCACTCTAGTGTGCATATACTATAACAGATTCTTTCATGGAATGTTAAGTGGCTTCAGAGAGCCCAGGCTGATTGATTGGTTTAGTCCTGTTCATTTTTGTGAAATGAAGAAATAGGGATCCAAAGAGATAACCTCACAGAGCTCTTCTGTGGTACAACTCTGAAGCTTAAGCTCAGAGATAAAATTTGCTCAGAAGTGGAACCCAAATACGGGTTTAATGTAAATTCATTGTTTGAATTTACAGGATTCATGGAATCTGAAAGGCAAGTCTCCTGAATTTTGGACTTTTGATCTGTAGCAAAATAAAACATTTTATTGTTAAGGAAAAGCATGCAAACAGGTAGTAATAAAGGAATATGATGCGTGTTCTGGGCTTGTGTTTTTTTCCCCTCTTGTTTTGAACGGCCATGCCATTGACCTTAGGACCTTCCTAGTGGATATAATAGAGGAAGAACCCAGCATATGGCTTAGTATTTTGTTAAAGCAATGGGTCTTCAATGGAGTGTTTGCAAATGTATAGTTAGTAGTTAATGGCTTGGCATTTAATTCATGGTTGCTTTGCATAATCACAAATTAAATTTGGATGTCCTGAGGAATGAATTAAGGTTGTGGATGTCCCCTGTCTGGGAATTGCTTGTATTCCTCAAGACAAAGGCTAGTCTGAAAGTGTTATGTGTCACAGACTAGAGTTTTAAAGGAAGGTAATAGGATCTTCATGTTAGAGGTAGTTTTAAAGACAGACTTAATGAATCCATGTTAAGTAAAGGAATACAGGTGTCATATAATTATTGAGCACTTTGTTTCAATAGTCCTAGGAACTCAGTTAAGTTGGAGCAGGGATTTGTGTAACAATTATAGTTTGTGATTTGAGTATGATACAGGAGTGATTTTTTTTGTAGGATGCTTCCTTCAAAGCTCTTTTCCCGGTTAATATATTCATAGCATATCTCCAAAGATACTTTATTTTCCTCTTAAGGAAAGTATAGTATAAAGAGAGTATAGTATAAAGGAAAATCCTTATATAGTATAAGGAAAGTATAGTATAAAGAAAGTAAAAGATACTCATATTTCCTCTCTTGTCTTCATTTGGCTGCAGTTACCAGCTTTGCTACTTTGTTCCTTTCCCCTTTTCCCCACTCCTGCCTCAGGTAGGTGATGATTAGTAAAACTTTGGAATCTGTTTTGCAGAAGGGGCTCATTTATCTCCTTAAATATAAAAAATTTCTTGAAGCTAAACTCTAGTAATGTAATTTTAAAATTCCCTTTTTGTAATAAAGCTGCTCCTCAACTTAGTAGCTTTAGATTTATTTTTAAATAAAATGAAGCATGGTAAGGTAGATACTGCTTTTCATCCATTTTATTTCATCAGTAACCTACCTGTGAGCACCTACTGTGTGCAAGGAATGCAATATAACCACGACAGTCTTAGGTTTTTGTCCCTCCTGGAGCTTACTTTTTAGTGAGAGGTTGACAAATTATCATTGCTGGTCTGGGTAAATACTGAGAAGGAATTTAAAAAGCAGGTGGTTCTTTTGAGATATTCCACAGTTTTAAGCTTATGTGCTTATGGATGGTTTTAGGACAGTTATAGTGGAAATGTTGATTACCCAAGGGTAAGAACTTGTTGAATTCTTGTGGTGTGCCTAACATTGTGCTGGGTTTTGACATAGGTTACTCTTGCTTGGTGATAGGAATTGTTTGGATAGAAATGAAGGTTAAGTAGCTTTAAGGCAAAATTTTAATCATTACATTTATTTAGGTGACTTCCAGTTTTCATTATTAAGGATGGGGTTTTTTCCCCTTTTCGGAGAGCTCTTTAAACGCACATATGTTGCTGTGCAAATATGTTACTTTAAATTTCAGTATCTTTCTAACTCATTTAAATGCAGTTTGGGGCGCCTGGGTGGCTCAGTCGTTAAGCGTCTGCCTTTAGCTCAGGTCATGATCCCAGGGTCCTGGGATCAAGTCCCATATCCGGCTCTCTTGCTCCGCGGAAAGCCTGCTTCTCCCTCTGCCTCTGTCTCTCATGAATAAATAAAATATTTAAAAAAAAAAAAGTAGTTTGAAGCTATAATCTATTCAAGCTTGGAGTAGCTGTGGTCTCCAAAGTAATACAGCTTTTTTGAACGACCTTTTTTGTAAGATTGATTTATTTGAGAGAGTGAGTGTGAGTTGAGGGAGGGGCACAGGGAGAGGGAGAGAGAATCTCAAGTAGACTCTGTGCTGAGCACGGAGCCTGACTTGGGGCTCCATCTCAAAATCCTGAGATCGTGATCTGAGCCAAAATCAAGAGTTGGCTGCTTAACCAACTGAGCCACCCAGGTGCCCCTAAAAAGACCTTTTTTAAAAAAATCATTTTTGGGGCACCCAGGTGGTCAGTCGTTTAAGCATCTGCCTTCGGCTTAGATCATGATCCTGGAATCCCAGGATCAAGCCCCAAGTCGGCCTGCTCAGTGGGGAGTCTGCTTTTCTCTCCCTCTGCTCCTCCCCCAGCTTGTTCTCTCTCTCTCAATTTAATAAATAAAATCTTTTTAAAAAATCATTTTCCAAAGAAGTTCAAACATAGTTCAGAGAAAGTGTGAAAGTCATGCCAAATCTTTTTATCCACACAGAAATGTTAACATGTTGATGATTGTTTATTTAGGTTTCTCTTTTAATATATTTATGGCTAAGTATGCATATAATTTTAGTTTTTACTGTTTCTTTGCATTCTTACTGCTTTTAAACTCTCTTGTAGGGTTTGTCAATGAGGCAGATCAGATTCCGATTTGATGGGCAGCCAATCAATGAAACAGACACACCTGCACAGGTAAAAATCTCTTTGTGCTAATGTAATTTTCTCAACAGCCTTGTTTTTATTTGTAAACTTTTAGACATTGGAATATAGTTTTTCACCAGAGTGCAAAACTCTAAAATATCATGAATATTAGTATTTCTTCAGGATATGTCAGTGGTTTCTAAATATCCAGTTACCATTTTGTAAAGCTGACAGGTCATTTAATTTAATCCATCCTTTCCTATTGCCAGCATTTTTTGGAGAAAATAATTCAGAATGCTGTTTTTGTTGCTATAGCTCTTGATCATAGTCTGGGTTGCCCACAGGTGATTGGTTGGCTGTTGATCCTGAGCCTTTTTTACTTCTCATGGTGAAATCTCTTTTAGCTGTCCTAGTGAACTATAAAGGGATCTTGGGGCTCTAACTGGAAGTGTATCTTGATGGTTTAGCTTGATCAGTAGGGTTCTTAATAGTAGGTGGCTTTCCAAAGCCTCTGCAAAAGGTGATGCTGTCTGATCCCTTTATCTCTTCACATGTCACTTTGTAAGATATCAGCTGGGTGGGGCGCCTGGGTGGCTCAGTCGGTTAAGCGACTGCCTTTGGCTCAGGTCATGATCCTGGAGTCCCGGGATCGAGTCTCGCATCGGGCTCCCTGCTCGGCAGGGAGTCTGCTTCTCCCTCTGACCCTCCCCCCTCTCATGTGCTCGCTCTCTCTCTCTCTCTCTCTCTCATTCTCTCTGTCTCAAATAAATAAATAAATAAAATCTTTAAAAAAAAAAAGATATCAGCTGGGTGGTCTTCTATGGGGAAGCTCTTTGTCTTTGTTTTTACCCTCTCGGGTTCCACTCAAGACTTACAGTTTAGGGAAAAAATATTTTGATAGAAGTTTAAATTGGAGCCCTTCTACTTTTAAATTTATCAGTCCATAAAAACTAGAAAGTGGTAAATATGGTAGGAGGGAAGCAGCCTACCCTGGTTGTGGTTTTGTTGATAACCTTCAAAAATTTGAAATGTTGGGGCACCTGGGTGGCTCAGCTGTTAAGCGTCTGCCTTTGGCTCAGGTCATGATCCCCGGGTCCTGGGATCGAGCCCTTCATTGGGCTCCCTGCTCTGCGGGAGGCCTGCTTCTCCTCTCTCACTCCCCCTGCTTGTGTTCCCTCTCTCGCTATGTCTCTCTCTGTCAAATAAAATCTTTAAAAAAAATTTTTTTTTAAATGTCTAGTTTGTAATTGAGGGAAGAATATTTTCAAGTAATTTCCTGTGAGGAGTCTCTAAGAAGCAGTTATAGTAGGTAGCCACAAGGAGGAGCTGAATTCTCTTGGTGAATGAGAGACAGGAAACTCTTCTATCCTTTGAAGGCATTTCAACTTTCACTATAAATGTAACATCCTGGGGGTTTTATTTTAGTAGATAGGCTGAAGACATGTTTTGATGGTTTAAAAAGAATAAAAACCTATTTTGCTAAACTTGAATGTTTAGAATGTATTTGCTGTCTTTTGATGTTCTCACCCACCACCAAAAACAAGTTCTTGTCTCTACATTGCTGGCTGCAAATATTAAACTGTGAGGAGGATTTGTTCAGAACTGCATTATAAAATCTTTACATTGAATGTGGAATCGAACTCCTTTGAGTATTTGAAATTGAATTTAACTGTAGATTGAAATTGATTTATTTTAGAATTATTCTCCCAATGTTTATTAAATAGAAGTATAAATTAGAACAACATCTTAATGACTAGTTTTAATAGTAATATAATTATGTGCTCACCGTTCTTTAAATATTCTCTTCGACTCAATTCTCATAACTGAATGCTATTCCAATTTACAAAGGAGGGAATTGAGACTTAGTCATTAACATTTTAATGCCACAGTCCTACTTTTAGTGTATTTGAACTTTGTTAGAAATGATTCCCTTTCTTGTCTTTAGGTATCCAGGGTTCTTGATTTTTGTTTTTGTTTTTCTCCCCCCAAATTACCAGTTTTTAGAATGTATTTTTTGAGGGTAATTATCAGCATAATAAACTTTTTTTTTTTTTAAGATTTTATTTATTTATTTGACAGAGACAGCGAGAGAGGGAACACAAGCAGGGGGAGTGGGAGAGGGAGAAGCAGGCTTCCCATGGAGCAGGGAGCCTGATGCGGGGCTTGATCCCAGGACTCTGGGATCATGACCTGAGCCGAAGGCAGACGCTTAACAACTGAGCCACCCAGGCGCCCTCAGCATAATAAACTGTTAAAAAGGTTATTTACTTCATAGCATTGCCATATGTACCAAGATTTTTCTACTGTGGTAGAAAGGATGGTTCTTTTATGTATAATGTGTGGGTAGTGAGCCTTGCAAACTTAGGTTGTGAGTTGCAGTTTAAAATTTATAGTTTTTTAGTAAGTTTGTCCTTACACATACTCCTTCCCTTACTGCACACAGCTAACCGCAATGCTTCCTGCACATGCCAGGATGCATTCATGCTATGCCTGCGTGCGCACACACAAACACACACTTTTAGAAATACAAATATGGTCATTTTGTAACCACTTTTTTTTTTTTAAGATTTTATTTATTTGACAGAGAGAGACACAGCGAGAGAGGGAATACAAGCAGGGGTAGCGGGAGAGGGAGAAGCAGGCTTCCCGCCGAGCAGGGAGCCCAATGCGGGGCTCAATCCCAGGACCCTGGGATCATGACCTGAGCCGAAGGCAGACGCCTAACGACTGAGCCACCCAGGCGCCCCTATTGTAACCACTTTTGCCATCTCGTGTTTTTTTTTTTTTTTTTTTTTAAGATTTTATATATTTATTTATTGAGCATGAGCAGAGGGAGGTGGAGAGGGAAAAGGGGGAGAGAGGATTCCAGGCAGACTGCTGAGCCTGGAGCCCAACTCAGGGCTGGATCTCACCACCCTGAGATCATGACCAAGCTGAAATTGAGAGTCGGACGCCCAACTGACTGAGCCACTCAGGCACTCTGCTATCTAGTTTTTAAGTTTGTTTTTATTTTTTATTTTTTTTAAAGATTTTATTTATTTATTTGAGAGAGAGAGAGAATGAGAGACAGAGAGCACGAGAGGGAAGAGGGTCAGAGGGAGAAGCAGAC